CTTTCTCTAGTTCGAGTAACATTACATCCTTTTCAACATCTGATTCGCCAATATCATTCCATATAGTCTGTAATTGGTTACAGTTAACACTTATAAAAAATGGAAGATTTACATACATGCCACTAAATTCCTATATATTTACCTTGCTAACACCCAAACTTGCATTTTTACATGCATGCCACCTTATCTATGCAAGAAAATGTATTTCACTTTTAAAAGTTAGAATGGCGGTATTTTTTATGTGATACAAAAGATTTGTGTGGCATAAATGTAACAAGTTTCGGTTTTATAAAAGTAAATATATAGGATTTGGATGGTATTTATGTAAATGTTCCAAAAAATAAATAGAGATTGTTCTGCGATTAGAGATGACACATAAATAAAGTAGAAACAAGTCTGCAGCAACTTTGGGCTGACCTGTAACTCATTTAAAAGGGAACTGCAATCCGTATCATCTTGCAGAAGCGGACCATGTTTAGTTTTTTCCATCGTGGGAGTAACCTACATAAAAGTTTTGCTCTGAAGATTAAAAATGCATCCATGAAAACACTGGTCTTCCGGCCAAACCATACGGCTTTGCAAAAGCTCCAGGCCTCCAAAAAAATTAAGCAACAATTTACAAGTTCCTACTCGTAGAAAAAAAAAACTAAATTAAATGTTTAAGAAAATCATGATGTACCGTTCATGTAGCATTTGTTGATCAATTTCTTTGGCTAAACAAGCATAAAAAATTGTGATGTTTTAAGGGACATAATGGAATCCATGAATTTCGACTGAAAACTTGATCTTATATAACAAAACTACTTATTTAAATAACAGCGTCTTGTAAAACAGTAAATCAAACAGAACCAATAGATGCAACAACTACCTAAATCCTCTCAGCTAAAAAAATGTAAGCTTAGCTTAGTTTGGGTTGCTAAATTATTTTAGTTTTATATAGACAGCCGATGACTGATCCAGCCCACAAATTGGGTTGGCTTGCTTATTTTATTTTTATAGACATCTGCCCACCCAGCCCACAAATTGGGTCGGCATGCTTGCTGAAGCTAGACTGTTGTCCATTGCAAGCAATTTTTCACATTTTACTGGCCAGTGAGAGTATCGGCCTGGTTTAACAAGTAGATGAGATTAAATCGGGCCTGCCGAGGGGATTTGCCTTCAGGTTAGAAATATTGAAAGCTTCATTACTTCAGTATAAGATGTTTGAAGAGCTTCTCTTTCTTATTTTTTTGCATTCAAGCTTCGCTACTCTCGATTTATCATCAGAAACACATTTTACATAACAGAATCCAAGTCCATGAGACATTCGTGTTGAAACTTTCAAATTACTCCTCAAATCTAGCTCGTTTTTCAATATAGTTATACGTTGCACATTTTTGTTCATCCAAAAGCTGAAAAGAAACACCCAAACCGCAATTCTACCTCATCATTTTGAAGTAAGTCGTTAAATCTCTTGGGTTTGGAAAATTTCATTGACACTAAGAGCATCCACAATCCAAGCCATCTATATAAAATTTGAATAATCAATGCCTTGCCTGAATTGACTAGTGACCTTAAGAACATTAATGCCGTCGCCATTGCTTATTTATATTCTTGTGCCGAAATAGCCATAAGGAAGCGATTTCATTCTTAAATCAGCAAACAAACTAACTCTCAATCAGATCGCATCCACATTATTCCCTCCCTCCACTTCTCCCATTTCCCCTGAAACTTCATCTTACAAATCCCTAAATCGTGGCTCAAGATCGACTGATCAGCATAACCCAATCAGACTAAGTTTAGAATAACGAACCGATGAAATGCAAGAATCTGATTTACATGTTTTCATTGGAAATGAGCCAAATTAATGCGAATTATCGTAAATGCCACATTACCGAAGGCGATTCCGCCGCTGATGTTCGTCTTTGACGTTGAACAGTTGAAGAAAAAGAAGAAGAATCAGGAGGAGGGGAGGAACGAGAAGAATGGGAGGAGGTGAGAAGAGATCGCATTTGACCACCCGAGCCTATTTTAGCGGGCGCCAAGGGTTTCTATTCCAAGAAATTTAAATTCCTCTAACCTCCTCGCCTTAAATATAAGCATCTATCTCTCTCTCTCTCTCTAATTAGTGTTTGCTTATATATTTTTCATTTTATTTGTGTTTTTTATTTTTCTTTTAGAGCTCTTCTAATTTTAAAATATTAATAACAGAAAAAAAATATATTTTTTGATGCCTCTTAAAACACCAAAACAACTCTTCGTCTAATCCGCCGCAGTTGCACCGCCACCTTTCTTCCGTCTTTATCACTTTCACGTCGCGTCGGCTGCTGCTTGCATCCTCAAGCTTCCGCCGGCCTCTGATAATCGTCGCCCGTCGCTGCTGCCACCCAAAGGTAATAATTTGTGCTGTAGAGCAAGGAAAATATCATATACATCATGAGCGTCAGATCTTAATACTAGAGCACTAGGGAACCCAGCCATATTATAAAACATATAGTTTATTCTTTGAAAAAAATAAAAATATCTAACCAAAAATGTTTTATGTTTTTTTATTTTTAAAAACGTATAAATCATAAAAATAACAAACGCATTTTCTAAAAATAGAAAACAGAAAACTAAAACAAAAGGAGAACATATTAAAAAAAAAAAAAAAGTGATCACAAAATGTCCCTAGGTTCAATTGGGAATTTAACCAAAAATGTTTTATGTTTTTTTATTTTTAAAACGTATAAATCATAACAATAACAAACGCATTTTCTAAAAACAGAAAACAGAAAACTAAAACAAAAGGAAAACATATTAAAAAAAAAAAAAATGATCACAAAATGTCCCTAGGTTCAATTGAGAATTTATATACATACCACACAATTCATATGTATTTACATGTATGATAGTTAAAGTTTGATATTTACATTTATAGCATTTTGATGTCATAAACATAATGTTTTTTTTGCTTTTACTAAGTTAGCAATAATGTCATTTTTTAACTGGAGATAGAGACTTGAGTGGCATGCTTGTAAACATGAATGTTTAGATACTAAGGATTTCTTTGGGGCCGTTGCAACTATTTGAAAATTGTAACTAACCTGTATTTACATGTATGATAGTTAAAGTTTGATATTTACATTTATAACATTTTGATGTCATAAACATAATGTCGTTTTCTTTTCAAAATATTAAATCGCAGTTTTCTAGTAGCCACTATATTTAGTAAGGTGAGACCACAATATCACAATTTTTTGAAAAAAACAGGTTAGTTACAATTAACACAAAAAATTGTGATACAATACAACAATGTCGCCACATTGTTGCCCTCAACTCACCCTAAATATGTAAATATATCAACATTGCGTGTTCATTTTAAATTTTAGGGGAGATTTGGGGGCACTAGTAAGTTATGTACAATTAGAGCTAACGAATTAATTACTCATCTCATATTCTGTTTATTACTGTGGCATAGATATTTACATTTTTCACATAAATTTTCATATTTGCATATATAATATTTAAATCATTAATGTCATGCATAAATTTACGACACCAAAAAAGTATAAAGTAAATATAAAAAATTTGGATTATAACAATATAAATACATGAATAATTAGAGCTTTACCTCTCTATGATTTCTTTTGTACATGGAAGTCAATAGGCAAAATGATAGCGACGGATCGCCTAGTCTTTCTTGACTAGGCATGCTCAAGGCAATGAAATTCTTTATTCCACTTCTATATTGTTATGCTGAAAATTTCCTTTTGTTTTATTAATTAAATTTTGGGTAGAGAATCACTTATTCCAAAAACGACATGTATAAAATTATCCTCGGTTACAATTAATATTATATATATGTCCCAATTCCTATGTATTTACTTATCAAACATGTAAGCTTTGTTTTTTACAATTCAACCACCCGAATTTTTCGCATCATATTAAAATTATTAGTTTTTTTTTAAAATTTTTTTAAGAAATGAAATACACCTTTTCATCAATATTTAAGATGGTATTTGATGCATGCTAGAAATATCACAGCGGTAGAGTAATGGATTGTTGTTTTAGCATTGCACGAGGATTCAACATACGCTCAAATGAAAGGAAAAAAAACATGTGATGACGCCAGAAGTTTTTATGTGGAAAACCAATAAAGAGAAAAAATCACAGGATTTGACCAAGTTATAAAAACTCATTATATGTTGAAGATTATAGAGGCCCCTTGTCCCACAAACGAGAAAGGGTTACAAGATTTTCAGATACAGCGTCGCCTGACGGTGTCCGGTCAGCGGTGGTCTGCAGTGATCGGCGGTGGTCGACGGCTGTCAATGACGGTTGGCGGTGATCGACGGAGGTGAGCAGTAATCGACGGTGGTCGACGGATGTCGGTCGTGGTCACCAACGGTTGGTGGTAGTCGACGACGATCAACGATGACAGAGTTGATGTTGAACTTGAGCTCCTTCTCAAACCCTCAAGTTCTCTCCCAAGCAACCTCTCTCATGTGAGAGGTGGGGCTCTATTTATAATGTTATGGGTGCAATTAATGCAGGAATATAAACTATTTTGATCGGACGGCCCAGAAAGCTTCTATCGATCGAATGGCTTTTGGGCTTTTGATGGACATTTGAATGCCTTAATGATGTCAGAATTGAGCAATCCTAAGATCGTTGGATTCGTCTTATCGAGACGCTCGATTCAACCACTAACTTGCTAGATTCGACATCTTTTTGACTTTCCAAATGCCTCCGAAAATCTTAGAGTGGTTTAATGATTTGATCCGAGCTTGATCTGACTCGGCTTGGACTAGTTCTTATATCATTGGGTTCGTCTCATCGAGCCGGTCAGTTTGACTATAAGTTTACTGAAATCATAGTCATTGATGACTCTTAATTGAAGTTTGAATGCTTATTGTTCAAAAGATTATCTCAAAATTCGTGTCACACCTCGAGATTCGTGATTGATGATAAAATTTTTTTGTTGGCGTATCAATATTTATGTAAAAGTTGAAGCTTAGGTTTTAAATATGCAAAAATACATAGATATTAAGTGTTACGTATGTATGTCTTCTCTAAAATAAAAATACAATAAATCAAAATGACAAAAAATAAACGAAGGTACAATGACCGTGGGCCGGCCATATTAGCACAAAAATGAATGAGATAAGGCTACTACTGTGTAAAAGCCTGTACAAGCCCAAAACCTTTCTACGACTCCGATCCCAACAGTTCAAAAAATATTTGGGGCAATCATATACATGGCACACAATTTTTATTTATTTACAAATCACTACCATACTTTCCAATTTACACAAATAACACTCAAATCTTTAATATCACACAAAAATAGCCCTACTATCACTTTAAAAATGTGAAATACTAGCTTTCTTATGCATAAATTTATAACACCAAATATCATGCATGTAAAAGATAAAAATTTAGATGCAAGATATGCAAAAAATTAAGTGTGCTACACCCACACATAACCATATGAATTTGTCATATTTATTTCGGCATTTCCAATCAAGTTTCTAATGAAGCAACAAAATCATTTTCAAAAGCTAAATATGCGGATCAGAACCATATGAGCGCATACCAAGCATACAGAAGATGCACACACATGCACATACACACGAAAAAGTATTACTATAGTAGTGATTTGTAAATGTATATACCCCCACTCAAATCTTTCTTGAGTTCGGAGGCAAAATTACGTCCGGCCAACTGACACTATCCACAGAAAGAAGAAAAAAAAGAAACCATTTGTAAATGTATATACCCCCACTCAAATCTTTCTCGAGTTCGGAGGCAAAATTAATATATATATATATGGGGAGAGAGAGAGAGAGATGGGCTGGGGGGTGTAGGTAGATAACATGTCATGTATATATATATATATATATATATATGGAGAGAGAGAGAGAGATGGGCTGGGGGGTGTGGGTAGACAACATGTATAAATTTATCTTTATGTTTGGTTCATAACATAAAATTTTAAGAAGAATTACACACATATCACTGGATTCCAATGTATATACGTATCTAACATCTAAAAATTAAAATAATAATATTTTTTGTGTGATGAAAATCAAAATGGTAATAAATATAAAAGAATTCGGTGGTATGTACGTAACCAAGTTCCCCAAAATTTAATGCTCTGTCTCTCTCTCTTTCTCTTTCAGATTAACAAAACAATCTTACAGTTCCTCATGCTTACAGCAGAATCAGACTCAATCTCAGTGTTATACATTTATAACCACTTAGAAAATTCAGATTCAAAATGAAGCATTTGGAACGATAGAAACAATCCTAAACTCCTGTGGCTGCTGCTAATGAAATATAAATAATCTGTTCAAAATATCACAAAAAGCTCCAAGCACAGAAAAGCTAAAAGCATTTAAAAAAAAAAACTATCAAGGAATATAATAAATAAACTGCTTTTATATAAAGAGAAAGCAATTAACTTAAAAAACCTAAGCAAGAATGCCTAATCTGATAACAAATCTTTCATCTCTTTTACAGAAATTCATCCAACTTTTTGGATTTCTGAGTGGGCTTTTGAGGCCTGAAGTCTTCCAGTCGAAGATTTGACCCTCTCCGGATTTCATTTAGAACCGACTCACCTCTGTCTGCCTTAATGAACTCTAAGATGCCCAAAAGGATCTCTGAAGCGAGCCCAAACTCTACCAGGCCTCCTGGCTCTTCGCCACCTTCACGAATCAGTCCTCCAATCTCTTTTAGAGAAACCACATTTTCCACTATGATTTTACCGAAAATTTGGCCCAGAAATTCTGCAGCTTTAGGAGCATCGTTCATGGCATCCTCCAGTGAAGAGAGAACAGATTCAAACCTGTCCACAAAAATAAGATAAAACTTCGGGCTTGTTTGGGTGATTTTAAAAACAACTAAATATTTTATAGTAATACCAAACATATTTTATTTGAAGAAAAAATAAAAACCAAACAAAATAAAAATAAAAACAAATCCCAACCAGTCCCTTGATGAATCTAAAGAAATAAACAAAAGTAACCATTTCTCCAGCAAATTAGAAATTTGCATTCATACCCAGAGATCAGTTGAGTTCGACTAATTAAGGTATAATGAGACTTGTTTAGGCTGACAAGAAGCTCGGCCAATAGATTTCTCTCCAAAAGTTTCCTTTCGAAGGAGTCTGTCACCCACACAGACACCATGGAAGGATAGAAATGTGGTGCGTTTAGCTCTTTGATGCATGCAACAACCTCCCCCTCATCCTTGGCGCTGAAATAGAAAAAAAAAAAGTTCAATCAACAATAAGTTAATACTCACCTAATGCAAATCTAACAGTCCTGTTCATTGAAAACACAAATAATGTGTGATGATAATACTTTAAAGTAGATTTACATCTATGTCGCTCAAATTCTATGTATTTACATATCGAACACCTAAACTTCAATTTTTAACTACATATCACCTTATCTATGCATGAAGAAATGTATTTCACTTTTTAAAAGTTAAAACAATATTGTTTTTTATGTGAAATAAAATAGTTGGGTTTTGTAAATTTAAAAAGCAAAGTTTAGGTGCAAGATATGTAAATACATAGAAATTGAGTGTAGATGCCCCATATATTAATTATCTTGATGCGGTGGTTTTTGCTTCTCAGTTAATTGTTGGATATAGCAAGACTATACAGATCATTCCGACAAGAACAGGATGTGTTCTCTAGTGTTTTCGTTACTGCAACAAATCATTTCGATGACAACCCTTGGATTCCTTAGTAATGGGATCTTCACGTTTACACTCATCCATAATACCAAGCAAATAAATGTTTTGTATAATTACATTGTTTCTTAATTTTTATTATGAAGTTTCAATTTCAACAAATTGAAATATGCCCAATATGAATGGCATCCACAAGGATTTCAAAAAATCACCTGGGTGTTAGTTTTGCAAATAGCAATATTTCGAGTGTCATGAACGTAATTATCCCTATATTTTATCATGTAGCCCACTATCATAACTAATGATGTGGATTCATGATCACATGAATAGCCTATTTTTAGGGAAGAGAAATGGATGGGACTTCAGCAGGGAACAAGATTACAGCAGTAGATTTCCTCTAGCAAATTCAAAATACAATTCATCTAAGAATCTCAAATGTTTATAAATCGAAAACTCTGAGATATATAACAATTAGTTTTTTATTCAATAAAATTTCTGATTCCAGCTTTTGATCATATGTGATGTTTGATTTTATAATTCCTTCAAGTGCAACTGCCTAATTCCATGTGAAATCATCTCTATGTATTTGTGTGACACTTAAATTATCTTCAATTCGGCAAGATTTCTTTTTATATCTAATTTCATCTAATTATCTTCTTATAGTTTCATTAGAATTATTGATTTTGTTGAAACTTAATGCAATTAGATTTTTAATCGTGGTAAAAAACTTCAACTATTTTGTTGATTTTTCATGATTCAAATTTTGCATTAGTTTCTTTATATTAAGTTAATCGTTTGCACTCTCATTGGTGTTCAGATTCCTATATATTTCAGTTTTCACCGAAACAAATGAGTTATTGTGTATTAAGTAGCAATGGATTTGTAAAACTTAGTTTCTTTTGTTTGGATTTACATCCAAAGTTGGTTATTTCCAATTCCCTAATTTAGTAACGATGCAGTTCTCTCCTTTGAAATTCACTTTTGTTTATACTTATTGACAACACTGCTAACTACACATCCTCTATTTTCCCTTTGGAAGTTGTCGATTTGTTAAAGTTCAATGTATGTGTATAAGAGAGGGAGAGAGAAGAGAGAGAGAGAGAGGGAGATACCACACACACACACATACAACATATATATTTGTAATTTATACAAGACTTTCAACTAGGCTTCAAGTTCGACTCCATAAATAAACAAGTCAAAATATATACCATAAAAGTTGGCTCATTTGCTTAAGGAGTTGAGCAGAATTAAGAATTGACCTCATTCAAACTCAACTCATTACACGAATAACTGTTACGTTCAGTGGCCTAAATTTCACACGAGTCTCTAGTATTGCTTGGTGCATATATTCTTTTAGTTAGATGGTTGGGATCACAGCAAGTATTGTTGCGAGACTTTAGTCTTTCTAAAGGATTTTTTCGTGCTTCCGTTATATGTATTTTCCTTCTGTGTGTACTGTAGCAACACTCGAGCCTTTCCTAATGTGTGTTGTTCTCTTCCTCCATATTGCATTGTAGCTACTTCAGTCTTCCTAAAATTATGCATTTGAAAATGTTTCCTCACTTGGCATTGCATTGTAAGTATATGTTCAATTGCTACAACTTCCTTCTTTAAAAGGTTGAAAGCTTGCTAATTGAGGTTTCTTTCTTTCTCGACATGGTATTGTAAGCTAGATAAGCAATAATGTGCAGTCAAATCTAATTTTACTTAAAAAACTATACTTCTTGAATGCTCTTGCAATGATGTATTGAATGTATAAGAAATATAATTGAAACATGAGTTCATGTTGATTGTGTTGAATCAAAATCAGCACTTACATTAGAATATGGTTATCAACCAAGAATTGGAATTAAAATTGAAATTAAAGAATGAGAGTGAAATCATATAGGAATCACAATTTGAGCCAAAATTAAGACTGAAATAAAAAAAATAGGTTGAACATCCAAGTTAAATTCAGTCAAATCCTGGAAAACAAAATTTATGAATAAAACCTGAAATTCAATCTTGAAATTGAATTCAAGTGTGACTAATAATTTTGAATCTAAATTTGAAAAAAAACATTAAATTTGATTTTGAAATTTAAAAAAAGATCATAATGAATCTAAATAGAATCTTAGCTGTGAATTTAAAATTCAAATGTAAGCTGAATTTATTTTTGAAACTGAACCAAAATTACAAATCAAATATGAATTTAATCAAGAATATGAAAGCAAACAAAACAAATTTTTGATGGTGGACAACTCAATTGAACAAGATGATTTAATTCCTAATGAAGTTTCTAATGGAAAATATTTCTACCAATAAAATTGAAACCGATTTTTTTTCTTTTTTTTATCACTTAATTTCCAAACTCAAAAAGAGGGAAAATTTTTTTCTCCGGCCTCCGGACGTAGCTTTACGTCTGGAGTCCTATCAAAATTGTAATGTGGTATTGCGGTCCCACTGAATTAAAAACATAAAAAGCGGTTGATTTTACGCGTGAACCAGACCGAATCAGGGTTATTGGGGTTATTACAGCGTTATTAGAGTGATTGTGCGGGGGGTTATG